GTACACCTTTGGCAAGGCCAATAGGTGTAAGGAAGAAGGAGGTGAGTAGTGGAGAAACCAGAGGGCGATAAGCGAAGTCAGAAGTCTAGTTGCACAAAATCATTGTTCTTTACGCAATATTTGACTGTGCATCTGATCATGACTTACGTACGTGATCGCGATGGCGTACATTAACCATAAATCTAGAGTTATGATATTAATCATGAATTCATAATAAGGAAACGGTCACTAGTACTGAAGACTCCTAGGCCTACAAAGGCCCAGAAAAAATGCGCGCCCTATTACTGGTTCTGGAAATCGTCGGGGCGTGACGTGACTCAATTCTGCCACATTCTAACCACACTTTGATCAGTGCCTAAGATCCGAATATATTCACCTTACAAGTCGGCGATCAAATGGAAACCCATTGAGACATTTATCCGGGTCATATAATGTAAAAATATTCTCTAATATTATCAGCTTTTTTCTCGTGCCTTGCTGCTAGATATATTATTTATATCTTCCCTCTTTCCTTACATGGTTTAAGCAAAACAATTTGTAATTATATTCTGGTAAAAAGTGGACAGTAAATACTAGACAATTTGAAGAATAAATTTTAAGTTCTTTCAAGTTTTCTCCAGCGCTTCAAACCAAAACAAGATTTTATTATATACTCGTTTTAATCACAATTTCCCCGCTGCACAAACAAGCCAACTCCCCCAGTGGTAACAGGTACAACACAAGCAAACACGAAATTATCACGCTGTGCAAACGGCAGTGAAAGACACTGTAAGTCTGTGTTTCTTTTTTTTTTTTTTTGGAGGGCTCGACAACGTTCACTAGCACTACTGCTCACGACCCGCTTCGAATTTCCCATCATTTAGAAGTAAAAATACAATGTGAAACTTTTCTCAGTGCGTGAAGAGCATGCGGTAGACCCGGATGTGCATAGGTGCGGCTGCGCGTTCCGCGTGATACTTGAATTCGTGTTTAGCATACAAAAAAAAAATGATGAGATGCAAAATAGTGACGCACAGCTCTCATCTCCTCGACCGTAAGCCACGACTTGCGACCCTGGTCAAGGTTGATCTCGGAAGCTCGTAGGGGCCATGTGCGTTTCCAGGCGAAACCAATGATGTAAAAGATGATCATCACGGGGAAAGCAAGGTACGCAGCTGTCCAGAACGAGTGCTCAGAAAAAGACAATATTTGGGTGAATCGGCGAAATTGACGTACAGAAGAAATTAATCGCGACCTCTTTAGGATCGCTGGACATCCCGCCAGCGGGCCAAAGAGCCTACGAAAACGTGTATCAGAG